GACAACTATCAAAGTCTATCCATCGTCGTTTCCGTATTTTTAGATTGGAACATTGAGGTACATGGGAATCCGATGGATATGGAGACAGCATCCCCAGGGGAATTACCTACAGCATTGAGCAAGTTTTACATAGAAGCTAGGCCAAAATCTACAGCAAACGAAAATACTGTAGGGGATCTTTACCACAGGAGTACCCTCATTAATATCCGAGGTGGAATAAATCGGCACCTGGCAGATCTACACAAGAACATCGACATTGTGAAAGAATAGGAGTTTAAAACGGCAAATGGTGTTTTAGACGGACTATTAAAATAAAGAACTCGTATGGGTACCTCAAAGCCAGTGCAACATAAAGAAATAATACAAAGAAATGATTTGCAAAAAATCCCCTATGTCCATTTATCCTCCACTACCATGTATGGTATCATTTATCAATCCATTTTGTAACCAGGGGATTAGAATTTCACCATCAGCTGTACACCGATTCTTTCGAATTTCACAATGATGAGAGTGGCGAATATGTCACTAAAATTTGACACACAGCAGAAAACCCAACAAGGCGGATTAAATTCAAGCACTGTTTCGTCCGAAAAACGCATGTACGCAACGGGAACGCTATATTGTCCGGTGAAAATGTTGAAACTGCTGTTAGAGAAAAAAAAACAGTCAAAACGCGACAAGTCTTTTTAATCAGTATCGAAAAAGCGCTGTCTCCTTCACGTTGACTAACAATATCTGGTTTTCCGATAAAGCTTTGTCGAAGCGAACATTCGCGAATTTCCTCACTGATATCTGTCGTGCTTCCTTCGTCAAACGCTACACACCACATTGCCTTAGGGCTACGGCGATACTATACCTGAATGATCAAGGATTTCAGGCTAGACACATCATGTTCATGAGCTACCATAAATCTGAAAGTTCACTTCGGTCCTATAACCGCACAGTTTCGACGACACAGAAAAAGTCACTCACCGAAAAAGTAACTCAGTGCATCGTTATCTACCCTGACACTTCCAGTTACCGATCACACAGCGAGAGTTTCGCGATCCCCAGTTACCGATCACGCAGCGACAGTTTCGAGATCCCCACAAGCAGTTTCCTCACAAACCGTAGCATGTGTTTCATCGGAGTCCCTTTCTGCAAGCGATAATCCTCTTCCTTTAAACTCACTCAGACAAAACATGAATGTAAATGTCCAAATACGGCTACACCAAGTTTCTTCGCCGGTTCATCATTTTCAGGCTGATCGTTCACTTTTAACTCGAAGTGACGTGACGCTGCCATTTTTTCTGAATGAATGGTAGGCCTACGGTTTACACTTGCATAGTGAAATTTTAATTCTCTGGATTTAAGTACTGATATTAAATAGTAATTGTTGAAAGTGTTAAACAAATTCATTTCGTCAGCTAATAAAGTTTCAAACTTTATTGTTTTATCAATCTGCCATTGTTTTACTGTTGTTTTTCCACGCACTATTTTTTTGTCGTCGTCAATATGGCTGTTCCATCAACATCGCAACACTAACGATTGAGCGGGAAATTTGAATTTCAATTATTTCTTTTAAAAAAATGACAAAAATGTAAATATAATCATTGAACGTAATCTGACATACGTTCAATGGTTAAGTAGACCCCTTGCAGGTGACGTCATCATTACGACATCCCCGGATGTCGGCCATATTGGAGGTATAGATTAAGCGCATGGGTGATCATTTACAAAGCATTTACAGTCGTGTTACCAATTATGGTGAACTATTGTAGAGTTGTCGGATGTACGAACAGGTCAGATCGAGAGACAGATAAACAGTTTTTCAGACTACCAGCTGTTGTAAGAAACCAGGGAGATCCCTGCAGAAAGTTGTCTGAAGAAAGACGACGATGGTTGGCAATTCTAAACCAGGATTTCACAGACAAGAATTTAGACAATATCCGTGTCTGCTCTGATTACTTCTGGTATGTGAAATCAGAGACGCATTATATACTGTGTCAGTATGTATCTAGTAAAAATAGGTATACTTAATTTTCAGGACTGTAAGTATGTCGATATGTTTAAAATACCTTATTTTATTCTTTTGTAGGAACCAAACGATACTCGGCACTCCGTTATTTTTTTAAGCGCAAGCTTTATCAACAGAAAACAGTGTTGAGTTGCAATGTAATTATTGCCTGTATTTTATCACTTATTAAACCATCCTAATATGCAATGACCATACAGATATCTAGCGTGTTTTAAACCTCAGAATTCTTCATAAAATACACAAACCTTGCACTAGACCATATATAATACCCTGGTGTAGTTTCCCCCTACCCCCCCCCCCCTCTGGAGCTTGAATTTTAACAGGATATCCCATTTTTATGTATTATCGTTGCGTTTTTAATGTTTTCCTCATATTTTCTCAATAGGCAAGAAATCTGACCTTTGCCCATCTGATCATCCAGACCTGGTTCCCCATGTAAAGGTCAACATTGGGAGCAACACAGTGAAATCTCCAGAATTAATCAGCCAGAGGTTTCAGAGACGATTTGAGAAAAAAAGGCGTAGTGAGGCAGCAAATATTTTGATGGAACTGAGCACATGTACAAGTGCATGCGAGGTCCAGTATGAACAGGAAGAGGATACCATGTCAGACCTAGAAACGTCAACTGGAACATGCACTCAAACCGATATAAACGGTTCCCATCTAGACATGCTGCATTCAGAACTGCAAGCACTTAGAACAGAAAATATAAATCTGAAGTTACAGGCAGTGTCATCAAATAGGTACGATAAGAGTGATTTTGAAAACAATGACGAGAAAGTGAAGTATTTCACTGGATTACCAACTTATATGGTATTACTAGCAACATTTTCCTTTCTTGAGAAATTCCTCCCAAGCAAAGCTTCACTGAATCCATTCAGAATGTTTGTGATGACTTTAATGAAACTGAGACTCAATCTATCGAATCAGTTTTTATCATACGAGTTTAATGTTTCTAACTATACTGTTTCAAGACTGTTTTCAGCCGGGATAAATATCATGTATGTTAGGATGAAACCCCTTGTAATGTGGCCAGAGAGAGAAATACTGAAAAAAAAACGATGCTTCTATGCAATTTTGGAAACATTTTGGGACCAAGCGTGCTGTGATAATTGACTGTTTCAAAGTCTTCATTGAGAGTCCCCCAAGTTTAAATGCACGAGCAGGAACCTGGTCTTCCTACAAACACCACAACACGGTGAAATTTTTGCTTGGAATAACTCCACAAGGTGTGATTTCCTTCAGTTCAACGTCATGGGGAGGTAGAGTGAGTGGCAAAGATATAACTGAAAATTGTGTATTTTTAAAGAAAAGTTTGCCTGGAGATCTGTGCAGCTTTTCACAAAAAATTTTACTCCTAAGTGAAAAAAATTATCGTATCTTTATGAGTGCTTGACCCCTATCGTAAGTGTAAAATTGTGTCGTAAGTGTAAAAAATTGTCGTAAGAAAAGCAAACAAACATGGCTGTGGCACTAGTATTATTATTTGAGAATGACGGAGCGATGCGACGAGAGAGAGTTTTTCGGGATAGGTTGAACATTCTAGATACTCTTACTGACAGCGAATTGATAGCAAGGTATCGATTTCCGAGGACAAGTATCCTTGAGATGTTAGAAAGCATACGCGATGTGGTGGAACGTCCAACGTCAAGACCATATGCGATTCCACCACACACACAAGCGTTTACAATGTGAAAGTCGATTCAAGCAATGGAGGTTAAAAAGAATAGTCGTTCTGTCTTCCTTTCAAGGGAGATCATTCTTGAACTTCTTGCTAGAGTTATCATTATTCATATCTCTATTTCCTATCAGTTTTATTTCAAAACTTATGTGAAATGCATGTAGCCGATAATTTTCTCTAAAAAGGACAATGATATTGGTATCATATACTGTCACTCAATAGTTAAAGTAATGTGCTGTCTTTTTTTTTATCAAACTAGTCCAGTCTTCAAGTGACTTAACATTCACTATTTTGGAGCATGGGGTGGGGGTAATAAAGCAAGAAATATGATATTTTATGTTAAATCTTTTATCATTGGTACTGTATATTGTTATGAATTTATTGGGTGTCAAAACAAGAGGCACAATGATATGCATTAGCCTGTGCCACTCTCCTGTATACATATGCTAACAATCATGAAAATAATATTTGTGAGTGCCATTTCAGTATTTATTACCTATTTTCTGCGATCATTGATTTTTTTAAATTAGGAATTCAGAAATTCATTGCCTGAAAATTTTGTGGCTATAATTTTTTGATATCAGAAGATATTTTATTTATTTACAAAATTCGAAATGATTTCTTGATATGAGAAATTTTTTTAACATAATTATGCTTTTAGATATTAAAAAAAAACTTTCATATAAAAAAATATGAAATTTTGATATAAAAAAATGAATTTTATTTTTGATACCAAAATTAGTGAAATAAAAAAAAAATCCTGTTATGAGATATTCCTATTTCCTGATATCTAAAAGTTGGAATTATTGATTAGAAAAAAAGAGGTTATTTTTTCATATAAAAAATGCCCCCTTTTTAACAGAAAACTGAATTTTACAAAATAATACTACAAATACCCCCGGATAATTCCAAATTATGTTCTGTCAGCAACACCCTTACATCAGTGGGTCAAATTCCAACACCTCCATGCACTGGGATTAAGGGTCATAGTTTTGTGGAATAAAAATAAATCTATATTGGCATATCAGCTTTTAACTATATCCAAATCCTTTCATTTGGATTTTCATTATTATCTATGTAATTATTGTAGATTCTTATCATCAGATAAATATAAGGAATTGTTTTCCTACCTACACTGGCTACTATATTTTTAGAGCCCATCCCCCCCCTCCCCCCCCAAAAAATAAATAAAATAAAATACACCTGAAATCCTTTTTGAATTTAGATAAATTAAAATTTATGTTGATTATATACATTATCTGAATTTCAGTTTTCAATATTATTTTAAATTTATTTTAGATAATGACAGCTTTGCGCTTTTTGGCAAAGGGAGAGTTCCTGTCTGAGGTTGGTGACCTCCATGGAATATCCATAGCATCAGTATCCAGGATCATCTATTCTGTTTGTTCAGCTCTTTGTGATAAACTTGACAACATCAAATTTCCAACATCACATGGTGATCTGAACAGAGTCAAAGATGAATTTTATAAAATAGCCAGCTTCCCTAATGTTGTGGGGTCCATTGATGGTACGCTGATACCTATCCAAGGAATGTCTGGGGAAGAAGAACCAAACTTCATCTGTCGTAAAGGATTCTCAGCTATCAATGTACAGGGAGTTGTGGATGCCAATCTTCGGTAAGATTTTTTTGGTCACCTGAGATGAAATCACCTATTTCCAGTGTCCGACTGTTGTGCATCATAAACTTTCTACATTTTATACTTCTTCTCAAAAAAACATTGCACCGATTTTGATTAACTATTACAAAAACCTTCCTTAGGCAAAGGTCCACCAAAATTGGGAATTATATGCTCCTCATCCCACAGATATTCAGTAGTGGGGACTAAAGGGGTAAAATTTGACCATACATGCATTTGATTTAGTAATACACTGTATTAAATTTATTTCTTTTTTTACAGTTTTACCAACATTGTGGTTAGGTGGCCTGGAGCAACCCATGACACATTCACTTGATCAAACTCTGGTCTACCATATATAATGGAAAACATTAATGGTTGGCTCTTGGGAGACTCGGGGTATCCTTTTAAAAGATGGTTGTTGACTTCTTTTGGTGCCCCAGGGAATCCACAGGAAGAAAGATACAACAAAGCTCACTGCTCTACTAGGAACACTGTGGAGAGAGCCTTTGGAGTGCTTAAGCGCAGGTTCAGGTATATTCAGGATAAGAAATACAATTCTATGGAATAAATTATGCAAAAAAATAATGGGTAAGTGTCAGAAAGCTGATGTTGTGGTGCGGCAACTTTTCCATTCAAATGGTTTCTTCTCAATTACCTAAAGATATTGGGTGCGTGTTACAGTATGCAGATGAGCGATACAGACCCATTGAGCCTCTTTTCCTCTAGGTCCTTTATTGCTTTGAAGAATGTGCAGCTGTACAATGATTTTAAACTTCTTTAAAGCAAGATAGCATTAAATGATTCACCATAAATCATACTTTTCATACCCGTAAGAAATTGATATTTTTTTTCACAGATGTTTGCACAAGACAGGAGGATGCCTGCAATTTAAGCCAGCAAAGAGCATCAGATTTTGGTGATAATATCAACATTGTAAAAATTAAAATCGTAATTATAAGCCTATACAAAAACTTCAGAGTAAAAAGATAATTGAGGTCCGTGGAGCACAACATAAAATATGACACTCTTTAAACTTTAACAAGACAGCTGGTACTATGGGCCCACACACATCATCACACACCCTCACTGCAGGGTAAATAATGATAAACCCCTGATGATTTCTCTTTATATTCAGGCAGAAAATTGGAATATCTAGCAAAATATCTCAATTATTGCTTTTATGTAATTATTTAATTAATTGTATTTTGGAAAGGGCTAATGTAAGTAGTAATAACTTGCAAATATTTGCAATAAAATATGTTAAATTCAAAATTCAAAGATCAATGAGAGATCTTGGCACCCACCATGGTTTGGTGTGTTCCGTTTACGCCAACTTTCTTAAAAACACATATGGCAGTTGGTGTTGTTTTTACCATTTAATTCAACAAAATTGGGGTACCTCATGGGGGCTCTGGGGAACAGCTACTGTGGAGTAGTTACCTGTGACTTGATAATATTTAGCCATAAATGGGGATATTTTCAGATTTTGAATTGAGAATTAAATTGAAATGTTAGGAAAAAAGAAGATTTTTTTGAATGCTATACTAGAGTGCAGACAAGCTTCAACGGACAGACAAGACAGACAGACGGATGGACAGCGAGGAAAACTATAACCCCCCTCCAGTTTCACCGGTAGGGGACTAATAATTAAACTTTGCCCAACCCCCTCCAGTTTCACCAGTAGGACTAATAATTAAACAATGTAAGTATGTTACAAAAATGTCAATGTAGAAAAAGGCAGAAAAAATCTTAATACATCTTACACCTTTTTTGGAACTACATTTCAAATCAGCAATCATTAAGAATCAAGGCTGCATGTACAGAGATCTACACAATCCAAGCTCTCTATCCTTTAAGAATGTATAGGCATACTATACTTACATAGAAATCTTTTTCTATTCTTCTTGAACTGAAGAATTGGCTTGGTTTTAGTTGAAGCGTCTTCCACTGAAATGTTTTTTTTGCAATTAAATCTTTGCATTAAACACAATCTTAGATAAAAACTGTTATAGACACTGTCTTTTCTCGAGATGTGTCCATTATTTAAGTTTCATTATTTAAAGACAAAAGGGAAATCAAAGTCTAGAATTTAGAAACATGTCCATCAACATATTATTGTTCTACACACTTTATAGTCAGTACTGGTAAAAGGGAATAGTTACACTTATATTGTACTTGAACCCTGTCAGCTTAACAAGAACTGTGCCATTCTCTTGGCTATCAGTGTTCTGGTCTTTTTGCAATTACACTGACCTTGACCCAATTACCTTTTTAACCCCAACTGAGTCTACATATAAATGTACCGCAGCATACATGCATATATGTATGGCCATGTTGGACAGATGGGCACTCTGCTTATTTTTGGACACCCAAAACTCGAATGTAAGAGACCAGTTAAGCTTCAACAAAAGCCTGCTGACTGATTAGAAAGTTTAGAAAAGATGCACAACAATATGTCTAACAATGGAGAAAAAGGGATTTAAGTTAAGTTCCCTAGAAAGCTAAAAAGCAGGCTTTGTTACCTGAGCAATTGCTCACTGATGCTTCTTCTGCTGTACATGTAGTTACATGTATGTTGGAGCTTGTGCTTGTATTATCTGAAGGATTATCTGAAGGAAATAAATACATTTAAAGATTACTCATCATCATCAATACCATCCCCCACCACTGCAGACAGTGACTGCAGTGCATGTGATAAAATTTTTTTTTTTTGATGATGCAATACAAATGTTATAAAAAGTGTTGTCTCTTTTAGAGAGTATATGTATTTGAAAATGTAAACAAGTAGTAGTATTATTATGAAGATGTACTTGAAATAGCAAACTTGTACAGATTACCTTTAATGATAATATAAATTTAACACAAACTTTATTTATCAAAGTTGTGAAACAAGTTTTCAACTTTAATCACTCTTGTTGGCCTGGATGGAAGCCCCCAATGGTCTTACTTTGGGGGAAATCGGAGTACCCGGGGAAAACCCGCCAGTGCGCCACCCGACCACCCTTACAGATTAATTATCTTTTATTTATAAGTCAATTATTCAATGATTCTCATAAAAGCAATCCAAACTTTAAGCAAATAATAACCAAAATAAACCATTTTAAGTTTAAAGAATCTAATACCTGGTAAGAGAGATGTATATTGAATATTGATGGCATGATTTATTTACCAACGAAAAGGTGTTGTATGTTATAAGTAATCTATAAACATTATATACCTGGTATAAAGGAAGTCTGTAGCTCCACTAGCCTCCAACATAGATGGGCGCTCTAAAGGAAAGAAATATTATTAGGAAACAGAACACATATAACACACTAAGAGATTCCATGGGCATCATCGGATGGAACTCTCCATTGTACCATCGTCATTAGTACATATGTACTTTGGCAGTTCAATCTTTCCCTTCTGTAATCTGTTTGCATTGATGCCACTTTAATTCCAAATGTAATACTTCTGTATTTAAAGAAAAAAATAAAGTGAGTTTGTCATTTCATTTATGCACTTGAACAATACCAGAGGTGAAAGGAATATAGAGTTAAGTAATGTTTTTTTCCAATGGTACAAAGGATTGTAAACATTCAAACCATAAAGGTTTAAAAATGTGCACAAATATCTCAATCACCAGATAGTAAGTTTTAACACAAGAGATGGATGTTTGCTGGTCCCATACCTTTCTCCAATACACCGAGACTTGACTGAGAAGTATCTACTCCTCCAGAAACCCCTTCTACCGCGCTCCTTGTGAATATTCCAATAATCTTTTTAAAGACATACATGTATAAATGATTGATTTTTATCTATATTGCCAACACTTAAAATAAATATTTTGAATCCATTTTTTAGCAGAATCTAAGTATACTTTTCCCTTAACCTACATGATCTAAAAAGTTGTAGTTTTTGATGTTAATAAAGTCATGTTTGTCAATGGTTACTTAAAGTCGAACAGACAATTTTACTCACAAGTTTTTCCCATAGCTTTGCATCATCTTCATATAAAGCCGGTCCACCACCAGTGGCTTGTCTGTCACGCACTCTCTGCGCCTCTTTTTTTTAGTTAAATTGCAGAGATCCTGCCATATTTTTTTTTTTACTTCTGTGACGTCTCTGGTTGTCTGAGAACTGTTTGTGGCATTAACTCTGAAACAGGAAACAGTACATTAATATTTAAACATAACTCCAAAATGTTACAAAATAAATCTACATTTTCAGGATCATAATCAATTTTAATATTTTTTTAAAGATAAATGAATTGAGAAAAAAAAGGGAACACATCTGTTATATAGGTCCACGTCTTTTTTTTTTATTTTTGCAATATTGGGGACTCTGCCCCCAAGCCCCCCATTTTGGTTTCCTAGAATAACTGTAGAAATATTAATAGCATACTTAACAGAAGTGATACTTATCTTAAATTTAGCACAAAATTGTAAATAAAATGACTTTTTGGGACCTACAGATTATACCCAAACAATGAATAAAAAAAATAGATTCCAGATAAAAAAGTGATGTCCCTAAAAACTCTTAATCTTCCCTGTAATGGTTGATTTTTCATTCCACCAACATCTCCTCTTTAGTTTGGTGAAAAAAAAACACAAATTAATGTTATTCACAAATGTATCAACATACATTGAATGTACACGACTGTACAAGTAATTAAAAACAAAGGGGATGGGTCTTAGGCTTATGAAGTATTTTTGTACTTTTTGTGCTAGATACGATGTAGGTCAATTTTGCCTAAGTCGGCCACATTATGCTAACGTTAGTCGTGTAATGATTTAGGTCGAATCACCACAGTGTATTGAATCCTTTGCCTGCAATGTACATTAAACGCAGGGTAGCTCAAAGTATCTGACTCTATTGGTGCAGCCAAGGAAGACTGGATCGTCGAAAACAGATCTGAGAGCTTTCCAGATGCCGGCTTCAAAGTCAACTATAAAATTGGTGACTACTGGTGCTGATGGCAACAACCTAATAATCTTCTTAAACACCAAAATTACGAATAAGTATTTTTTAAGTCACATATTTAAGGTGGATTTGTCTACATACACAGACATATAATTAAGACTAGGTGTATATATCAATTATTGAACTGAACAGTTACAAAATTGCAGAGTTGTAGATAAAATTTGATATTTTAGTTTTTGAAAACGGCAAGTGTGTATGGAAAGAGGCTTTAGCACAATATAGGTGTGTTAGCGCATGTATATATACCTTTTTGTAATCTTTACTGTGTTTCCCAGATATCACACAGAAAGCCAAGGGAACCTGTTTTGTGTCTGAACCGGGACGGACAAAGGCGTGAATGGATACGAGCTGCCGGTACCGTCTATGTACCATCTCTTGGCCTGTGAAAGGGTTTGGAGCTGCTCATCAGTAGCGAAGATAAAGTGCCGTCTATTACCTACTTTAACATCTTTACGGAAGAAACCCGGTTGAAGGAAGTTCTCGTCAAACTACAAAAAATAAATAATCTCGTCATACGCATATTTCGTATATGAATTCATCAAATTACGTAAGTAGTATGGTTTGTGAGTTGCAATTGGGAATAATTTAATACTGGTGGCTAGTGGTTTTATTATACTAGCGTAGTGAACATTAAAAACAGGTGTAAACATTTAAAAATTACGGATTTTCAACAAAATATACTAATAATGATATACCTCAAAGTTTAGATCGGATGGTTCATCTGGTCTCAACTTTTGGCGTTGTCGTTTAGCCAAGCAGGTCAAGTTTGAAGGATTTGGTCGACTAGATTCTGGCTGACGTAAATCACAGTTCTCTGCCATTATTTCCTCAACAATGGATGGACCAGATTTGAATATATTTTCTCGAGCGACCTGCTTAACCTAAAATGATTGTAAGGATAACATTAATAATAAAACGTGAACATGTGTCTGCGTGCGTGAGTGTGTATGTGTGTGTA